TATTGCTGTATGTATATATGTGACTACATGACCAATATTGATTCTGCAACATGTACACTCAGAAAAGTGAGAAATTATATCCCATCTATGTATGATATATCAAAGTATATAAATGCATTCTACTGTCATTTATAACTAATTAAAACAAAGAAATTAGGAAAAAAAGAAGTGGTGATGGAGGGCATCCCTGTCTTGTTCCAGTTTTTCGACGGAATGTTTTCAATTTTTCTCCATTTAGAAAGATGTTAGCCTTGGGCTTAGCATAGATAGCTTTTATAATGTTGAGATATGGTTCCTATTATCCCTAGTTTTTCTAGTTTTGAACATGAAGGGGTGCTGTATTTGTAGAATGCTTTTTCTGCATCTATTGAGATGATCATATGGTACTTATCTTTAAGTCTATTGATGTGACCAATTACATTTACTGATTTCTATATGTTGAACAAACCTGGGGTGAACCCCACTGGATTGTGGTACACTATCATTTTAATATGTTTTTGTATTAGATTTGCCAGAATTTTTATTGAGAATTTTTGCATCTATGTTCATTAGAGATAATGGTCTGAAGTTTTCTTTCTTTGATGTGTCTTTGCCTGGTTTTGGAATCAGAGTAATATTGGCCTCATAGAATGAGTTTGGAATTTTTTTCCTTTTTTTCTCTTTAATGGAATAATTTTAGGAGTATTGGTATTAGTTCTTCTTTGAAGGTCTTATAGAGCTTAGCTATGTATCCATCTGGCCCTGGGTTTCTCTTGGTTGGTAGGCTTATGATGGCATCTTCTATTTCATTGCTTGAAATTGATCTGTTTAACTTGTATATATCATCCTGATTCAGTTTGGGCAAATCACATGACTCTAGAAATTTGTCGATGCCGTCAATATTTTCTATTTTATTGAAGTACAAATTTTCAAAAGAATTACTAATTATCTTCTGTATTTCTGTAGTGTCCATCATGATATTTCCTTTTTCATCATGGATGTTAGTTATTTGAGTTTTCTCTCTCCTTCTCTTCGTTAGCACAGCTAAGGGTTTATCAATTTTATTTATTTTTTTCAAAGAACTAACTTTTTGTTTTGTCAAATATTTTAATTGTTTCTTTTGTTTCAGTTTCATTGATTTCAGCTCTGATTTTAATTATTTCCTGCTTCTACTTTTTTGGTTTGTTCTTCTTTTTCTAGGGTTTTGAGATGTAATGTTAAATCATTTGTTTGTTGACTTTTTTTTCTTTTAAGGAATGAACTCCATGCAATAACTTTCCTCTTAGTACTGCCTTCATAGTGTCCTAGATATTTCAGTATGTTGTATCAGTATTCTCATTTACCTCTAAGAACTTTTTAATCTCTTCTTTAATGCCTTCTGCAATCCATTGTTCATTCAATAGCATATTTAGTCTCCAGGTGTTAGAGTAGCTCCTAGTTTTTATTTTATCATTGATTTCTAATTTTATTCCATTGTGATCTCATAGAATATAGAGTAGTATCTCTGTTTTTTGGATTTGCTAAGAGTTACTTTGTGGCATAATATATGGTCTATTTTAGAGAAGGATCCATGTGTTGCTGAGAAGAAAGTGTATTTCACTCATTGATGGATGAAATATCTATATATGTCTGGTAAGTCTAATTGATTGTATTATTGAGTTCTGTAGTTTCTTTGTTTAACTTTTGTTTGGAAGGTCTGTCCAATGGTGAAAGAGGTGTGTTAAACTCACCCAGTATTATTGTGTTGTGGTCTATTTGACTCTTGAAATTGAGAAGAGTTTGTTTGATGAACATAGATGTTCCATTGTTTGCAGCATATAGATTTATAATTGTTATGTCTTGTTAATGTATGGTTCCCTTAAGCAGTATATAATATCCTTCTTTATTCCTTTTGATTAACTTTGGCTTGAAGTTTACTTTATTTGATATGAGGATGGAAACCCCTGTTTCTTACTGCAGTCCATGTGAGGGATATCTTTTTCCCAATCTTTCACCTTCCATCTGTGGATGTCTTTTCCTAAGAGAGGAGTCTTTTGAAGGCAGCATATTGTTGGGTCTATTTTAAATCAAATCTGCCTGCCTGTCTTTTGATTGATGAGCTTAGGCCATTAACATTCAGGTTTATTATTGAGACGTGATTTATATTTCTAGTCACTTTTGTTTATTTTTACTATATAACTTGACTTGGTTTTTCCTTTGATTGGTTTTTCTTTTAGTGTAAAACCTACCATTGCTTATTTTCATTGTTGATTTTGTTTCCTTCTCATGAAATATCTTGCTGAGGATGTTCTGTAGTGCAGGCTTTCTAGTTGTAAATTTTTTAAAATTTTGTTTATCATAGAAGGTTTTTGTTTCGTCATCACATCTAAAGCTTAATTTTGCTGATATAATATTCTTGGTTTCTTTCAGAGCTTGGCATATGTTTTTCTAGGATCTTCTAGTTTTCAGGATCTGGGTTGGAAAATCTGCAGATAGCCTAATTGGTTTCCCCCTATATGTAATCTGATTCCTTTCTCTTATAGCTTTTAAAATTCTCCCATTCTGTATGCTAGGTGTTTTCATTATAATGTGCCTTGGTGTGGATCTGTTATGATTTTGTACATTTGGTGTCCTATAAGTCTCTTGTATTTGATTTTCCAATTCATCCTTCATATTTGGAAAATTTTCTGGTTTTATTGAATAGATTGTTCATTTCTTTGGTTTGTAACTCTATGCCTTCCTCTATCCCAATAATTCTTAAATTTGGTCTTTTTATGTTATCTCATAATTCTTGAATGTTCTGCTTATGGTTTCATTTTGTGGTCAACATTATTTCAAGATTATATGTTTTCTCTTTATTGTCTGAGGTTTTGTCTTCCAAATGATCTAACCTGTTGGTGATGCTTTCCATTGTGTTTTTAATTTGGTTTATTCTTTCCTTCATTTCAAGGACTTCTGTTGTTTTTTTTTTTTTGCCCCCTCAGAACCTCCATCTCCTTTTTGAAGGAATCTTTTGTTTCCTATATTGGCTTATGTAACTCTTTATTGTAATTATATTTTGCTGCCTGTATTTGCTCTCTTATATCATCCTTTAATGCACAGAACATTTTAATTATGTATATCCTGAACTCCTTCTCTGTCATTTCTTCTGCTGTGCTGGCCATGGATTCTAGTAATATAGTATCTTGGTTTGTTTAGGGCACTTCATTCCCTTGTTTTCTCATGTTGTTTGTATGTCTTCCCTTGTAGCACTGCAGATCCAAGGTGTTACAGTTTTTACCCTATAGGCATATAGTGTCCCTGCAGGGTTCCAATACCTCTCTTTTAAGGGGGAGAACAATATTAACAGATCCCAATACAAACAATATACAACCTTGAACCAAATAACCACTATTAAGACATTTGTGGGGTTGTCACAATATGCAGAAATGTTGAGTTTAATTATTATCTACAATATAAACAGTAGGTTTGCAAAAGGGTCTACAGTTTCGGATGGTGAACAAAGAGAACAGGGGTGTGGTATAGGATGAGATGTTAAGGAGGTAGGAGGTAAGGATATAAAGACTTATTAGATCTTAGGAAGCTTGAAAAAGGAATCTAGTTGGCTAGTAGCAGGAGAAAAGAGAGAAAGTAATTTTGATGAGACTAGTAAGTGAGAAGACAATGGAATAAAAAAACAAATAACCATAAAAATTAAGAAAAATAAAAATGTAGAAATAGGAGATAAAATAATATGCAACACAACTGTCATATACTACACAGACATTCCAGTCCTCAATAGCCTAATCCATGAAAAATACTTGGTTTCACAAATGTTGGGGATGTGGGGGTGGGAGAAGAGAGAGAGAGAGAGAGAGAGAGAGAGAGAGAGAGAGAGAGAGAGAGAGGGGAAAAAAGAGAAAAGAAAAAATCTCAAAGGAAAATACAAGGATTGTTTTTGTTGGAGTTCAGTATCTTTCCTGCTTCCCTACTCATCCAGTAGTTGGGATTGTCTGTTGTTTGCTGGTATCTCCACCCTTAGGCTAATGAAGATTATTAGGGTAGGAGGGTTGGTCTTGGGGATGGAGCTCCTGGAAGTGGCATATAGTAGTTGCATGTCCCCAGTGGGAGACAGCATCTTAAGTATCTCCTTTGGGGCCTACACATGTGATGTAGGTGCCTGGTCTTATCTCCTTATATCACCTATAGACCATAGCCCTCACAATTCCTGGTATCTAATGTAGTCTCTAAACTGTATCTCACTCACCCCCTCCCTTTCTACTTCCCAATCAGGAACCTCTCTCTCCAGAGATCTTATGGACTGTGCTATGGGGGCTGCGTACCTGTCCCAGAGAGCTGTTTTGTATTGGGCAGTTCAGGGCCAGGCTTGCGAGCTTGCCACATAGCCGCAAGCACTGTGCCCTGTTAGTGGCTGCAGGGGAGGAAGGAGTTGGGGACTATAGGTACTTTGACATTGCTTCTAGGACCCAGCCGGTTTGCCAAGCTGGGAGTTGCCCCAACTAAAGATGGTGACAAAGGTGTCCCAAGGGCTGGACAGTGGCATTGGGTGTCGTGTTCAGAGATGCAGCTCGGTGGTGTACAGTGTTGTGGCTGGTGGCTGTCTTCAGACCCTGTTTGGTGTCCCCAGGTGCAGGCTATTGCAAGTAAGGGACTATGGCAGTGGTTACAGTGTCCCAAGATGGAGGCGACAGGGGAGCCTCATGGGATTGCACAGAGGAATGGTGACCAGAGGTCCTGCGCATAGGCAGCCACAACCAGGATCCTGTGTGGGTTTGCAGCAAGGGACCTGTGCATTAATGTTCTGGCACAGCTGTTGGGGGTCCTCTAATAACTCACAGAAAAACAGTATTCCCCACTGCTTGAATCCAGGTCACAGAGCAACACAGAATGCAGCCTTCCTCTAGCCCACAATCTTGGGTCTCCATAGAGAACATTTTTAAGGGTCCTGGTTTTTGATCTTGTCCACAAGGCCTCAGGTGGAGTGTTGACTTGCCAATAGTACAGGAGGAACTGTGCTGCCATTTGCAGTGTTTCCCTTGCAGGTGGAACGGCCAGCAGGCAGAGGGGCTTTCTGGGGTGTATTCGGTTTCTGCAGTTGAACGGGATGGCTCTGGACCTGGAGGGAAGAGCCAAGGTGACTCCAGGAGTGGAGGCAGGGTGTGCAGGACACTGCAGCAGCTATGCACACTTGTGTCACAATGGGGGCATATGTCAAGAACAGCACAGAGGAGTGGCTTGCGACTGTACATCCTCTGCCTATGAGGGCCCATTCTGCTCACATGGTAAGTGGCCAAGAAGGAGGCTTCAAGTACAACATGAAGAATGTTCTGGCATATGATGCTACAAAGAAAGGACAAAGCAACTCTATGATGATTTGAAATAGAATTTCTGTCCCAAATCCTCTGTGTAATTCAGGAAGAGATAGGAATCTGTTTTGAGAAGCCATTACTGGCTACTTCTGTTAGCTCTGGTAGCAGTCATTTCTGGATTGCCGTAGTGAAATGCCCCATGAAGAGGAAAAACCTCTGAATTATATGTTTAGACTAGAGATTTAATTTTATGTAAATCTAAGATGAAATATTTTGAAGGCAACAGTGAAATATTTATCATTACAAAATCAAGTTATAAAAATAATGGAGAATGAGTATGTGTAATATTTTATTAGATAAATAATAGTATATATACATTTTTAACCTTAAAATTGTAAAAGTAAAATGAAACAGTAAAAATGCCATTATTATTTTCTCTCTTGGGATAGTGAGGGATTAGGTTTTTTTAAAAAATGTGCATAAAGCAAGTATTATTGCACTTAAGTATTACTAACAAAACAAAAATTTTGTCCAGAGATTTCTGCCTATTTTGGAGCTGGTTCCTCCATAATCTACAGTTTTCAAGAGCATCACAATTACACCTTCAATGGGAACTCCAGCTCCTTAGCAGCTTTATTTCATGAGGAGCTAACACTAACCAGGGAAATAGTCACCTTGAGCTTCCGAACCACGGGGACTCCCAGCCTGCTGCTGTTTGTAGGCTCTGTCTATGAGGAGTACCTTTCAGTTATCCTTGCCTCCAATGGTGAGTATGAGAACCAACCCACTTGAATCAAATGTATGAAATATGATATGTCAAGAGCTTTGTAATGTTTTGAACAACCAATAATAAATAAATAAATAAATAAATAAGAAACTGAGTAAGAAAAATGTGACCATAAAGCCACAGGACCTTTCGGTGATCCAGTCACAAACCAGGCTTTACTACAGTTGCTTTATTTTTCATTATAACCCCAAATATTTACAGCAAAAGTTAACATTTCAACGATTCAATTAAGATGCCTTTCTCCCATAAACGTTTGATTATTTTATGGGTTTGGTGTGAAACTGTGCTTCCTGTGATTCCCTGGGGGGGGCCTATGCTTCTATGTATGAAATATATAATTGAATTTTGTAGTTCTCTTTGAAATATCTTGTTTAATACATGGAAAATATTTCTAGTTCCCTCTAAGAAAAAAAAATAAAGAAATATTTAAACCATAGAAAAGACAATATCCATAAGCATCCAATAAATATGATGGTTCTTTATCTATTAGTAGTTGAGAAATCACTAGTGTCATGCGTATATGAAAAAGTTGAGTGACCCACCCAACTGAAGCCTGCTAAGGCTTTTTCAGGAGTACACAGTTGGAGAACAAACAATCTTAAACTGGTTTCTATGGATATGCAAAAACCATATGAGAATTATAAGTATTAAGAGAATTATTGAGCTCCATCTGTGAAGAAGTACAGTATGTGGAATGAGAGATTTGGATACTGCAAAAAACAATATATTTCTATTTTTCTCTATTTCTTTGTTATGGCACAAACTTTAGGGGGAAAAATCCTGATCGTGTAAGGAAAAAAATTAATTATGCAAATGTCAACAATACATTAAATTGCAGTGAATTCAGATTAAAAGAAGTTAAAGAACCTGAACATTAATGCAGTATTGCTTGAGGTTTTACCATTTAATAATATGACTATCACATTAATAATTGACTTAGAGCCTGGTTCAGAGTTTTCATATGCTCAACTTACACTTTTTCATTTAGTTAAGGAAAATTGAGGATGTTGGAAAGGAGACTGTTCATTATAATCCATTTGATATTAACTTTTAAAATAGTAACTAAATTTAGAATGTGGCCCTAAAATAGCTCATAAACGATCAATTTTCCAGGAGAAGTATATATTGTTCCACCCAAAAATATGCTCCATAGATTCAAATTATATTTAGAAAATTTAATGTGATTTAGAACCTGCGTGGGCAATTTTTGTAAAGTTTTGTTTTAGTTAAAACTGTCTTTTTTTTTTGTCTTCAGGAAGTTTGCAGATCAGGTATAAGCTAGACAGACACAGAGAGCCAGATGTTTTTAACTTTGATTTTAAAAACCTGGCTGATGGGCAACTTCACAATGTGAAGATTAACAGAGAAGCTGCAGTGGTCTTTGTAGAGGTAAGATAATAAATCTAACAATGGCATCAATAATTAAAATAGTGGCTCTCAGAATGTATGAGTTAAAGCAAAAATTTGATAATACATCTTAATAACAGAAATACCCATTTAGCACTATTATTCTCTAAGTCTTGTTAGGACAGACATGTAATCAAAGTGTTTTGTTTAGCAATGAGATTATCAAAGCTGTTGTTAGTAAGTACTAACAGTTTTAAAAGCAAAGCTGTCCTCAGATGTTTTACTTGACTTGATAGAGAAATATCTAATATATGATAGTGAAAGTTGACAAACCCATTCCCACTTTATACAAAAGAATAAATGCTACAGCAATTTAAACACAAGGAAAAGGTCAAGATCTTGCTTAAAATAAGAATCTATTTTTGAAAAAGCACCAGAGTAAATTAAACTTTGAGATTTAAAATAGCTTATTGCATTTCCTACGGATTATACCATTTATGGATACTTATACCATGAATAAAAATAAAGGGAAAAGGGTGAGACAGTGAGGACAAGTGGAATTTAATGTATTACTGAAATTGTTCAAGAAAGGGTTTCTCCATTCTAGATAATCTATTGTTTGAAGTTGGTTTCTTTCATCTTTCTGATAGCACTAATGTATCACTTATCTTTGTCATTTTTCTTGGCCTGCCCTTGATTCCCATCCTCTTATCATCCAAATTGCTCACATTTCCATGTCTACTTCTTGTGGACTGTTTAATAGGTTAACCAGAATGCAAGGAGAAGAGCCACTCTGTCATCAGGGATGGAATTCAATGCTGTCATATCTCTTGTGTTGGGGATGATTTTAGGTAAGTGAAAGAGTGTCTCCCCACAAGAAATGGCTCATAACCACGGAATTGCAAATGCAGGAAGCTTTTGTCAAGCTGAAAGAGGCTTCTTGTCATGTTGGTAATTTTCAGTGAGTGCTAATCAAGGTAGAAACCATATTCTTATCTGAGTGCACCTGTAATCCTAAGTGCTGCCTGCCAGGAGCTGCAGCCTTCCTTGAAAAGCTCTCCCACTAACCTCCCCTCACTTGGCAATTGGCATAACCCTTAAAAACTTGGTAATTTTCTAACTCAAAAAAGCCAAAATCAAAGCAGATATTAAGTTCACAAGTTACATTTAGAAACTTAATACACACTTTCAGCGAAGAATTCACAAGCCAAATAAGAAATTATTTAATGATAAAACTAGACAAGATTAAGAGAAGAAGACAATTGTGAGTTGCAATGAGATGTGTCACTTACTCTCAGCCACTCTTGTAAAATCACAGCCTAAATATCTCACAGACATTTTTCTGCCCCTAGTTATTTTCCATAAAATCATCAAAATAAAAGTGTACTTTACTAATTAGGCATCAAATTCTTTGTGTCTTTATTTTTCCTTTTTCAACATGAATTAAATAGAAATAAAAGTCAAATTTTAAATTATTTTAAAGAAAGCATTATGAATCCCAGTGCTCTCCAGGGTGTTCCCATACATGTTAAAAACAAATGTGTGAAGTTTAGATGGTGCAGCCTAACTGACAGCTCTATGCTGGTCACATGGCATTAAAGATAAGATTAAGAGTTCCGGGTGTGGCTCAGTGGTAGAGCAGTTGCCTAGCATGATGGGCAATGCCCTGGGTTTCATCCCCTTCACCACACACACACACACACACACACACACACACACACACACACACAGAGGGCACATTGGGTTTCTTGAGGAGGGTATTTGAATTCTTTGCTGAAAGTGTATAGTAAGTTTCTAAATGGAATTGATAGGGAAATTTCAGCTTAAAGGGGTGATTCTGCATTGTCATCAAAATTTCAATAAAGAATCTAGCTAGTCCTGGAGGAGAAACAGCTTGTACTATTGGTCCTTTCACATGATTTGTTACTCTAGCCCTGGTTCTCATACATGGAAATCTGATTGAACCAGTTAAAACAGAAACAAAAATAATGATGGTTGCTTCACATTCTGTGTTAGGAGATGCTCATTACTGTTGCAGTCTGGTATAGAAGTGCTGCTAGTTATTTTCCTAGTCTCTAGCAAACTGGCTGTATTTCCTAGGCATTTCTGGATATCTGTGTTTTCATGATATTAGTAGTTTTTTATTCTATAGTATAGGAAACCAGAAGGAATTGGAAAAACAGATGAAAGAAACTGCTCCAACTGTCAGCCATGGAATAACAGAATACAGTTAGAGAAGGCTGTGAGATTCCAAAAAGTTCAAAGGCAGTGTTGAGTTTTAGGAACCAGTGGTTGCTACCCAGTTCTCAGCCATCAGCTGAACTATAATTATTTTTAACATTCTGATGAATGCTGAGATAATAATCAAGGAGTACAAAGCCTCAGATTTTTGTAAGGTCTTTTCTAAGAGCTGAATACTATACATTTCAATGTCACTGGGAGGCTGGATCTTGAATGTTCTCAATACAGTAAAATGTTTGAGGTGATGGATAGGTTGGTTGGCTTAATTTGGTTATTTCACATTGTAACAAAAAAAAATCACAGCATCATCATTTTGTATCTTAAAAACACATATAGCTATAATTTATCAATGTGCATATTTTTAAAAACATACAAGTAGAAAAGACTTTGCTTTCTCTTTAAAAATTTGCTATTGAGCTCTACCCTCTGTCCTGGCTGGTGGTGACTAAGTTTGAGAGAAATGAGAAATTGTTCCCACACGTGGTACACCGATCCCAAGCTGTACTTTGGTAGAGTAGATGCAGTCTATGAGTGCAGAGGTGGTTCCTCTCTGCCCTCAGTGAACCAATTCCTCTTTATTCCCAGATCAGATGTCTTTACTTTTTTCAAGCCACCAAGACAGAGTCAGTCGATAAGCAAAACAAACATAAACACACAAACAATTAACTTCCTGCCCTTAGTGTCTTCAGTGCCTGGAAGGAAAAATGAGTTATGTTCAGAAATGTCCATAGGAAGTTGTCTTCCATAAATGAAATTGGCAAAGGAGTAGTTTTAAATAGAATTTAGTCTTAGATTTAATGTGGGTAAAGAAAGATGCAGTAGGGCTGGGACTGGTAGCACACAGTTGCCTGGCATGTGTGAGGCGCTGGGTTTGTTTCTTAGCACCATACATAAATACATAAATAAAATAAAATCAACAACTAAAAAAATATTTAAAAAAGAAAGATGCAATAAATTATGGAAATTGATTAAAGTGAAGCATATTTTATGAATGGTGTTCATATTAGTTAAAAAGTAGAATAATAAATTGTATTGCATAAATTTTTATTTTCCTACTAATTAATATGTAGAGGACAGTGGCATTAAACCAAAAATGTTTATTTAAGAGTGATGTAGTCAAAACAATGTCATTTCAGATTGTAAAAATTAAAGTTGAAATTTGACAATGAAGCTTATAGACTGAAGCAATTGGTCTAATAAAATAATAAGTATTTCATTTCATCTCTACCTAGAGGCATGCATCTTGAATTAAAGGCTAGTACAAATTTTCATGTTTTAGATAACTGTATTTCAAGATGGCTTCTGTTCCAAGTTGCTGCTTTTCAGTTAACAAGCTAAGGATGAACACAATTTTGTTCTCATATTTGGAGACAGCAATTTGGGTTTCATTTCATTAGCTTAAAATGAAATAGAACAATAGGTAGACTCAACAGAGATCCATTCATTTTACAAGAAGTTGTCCTAAATTATGACAAGTTATTCATTACTTATTGTTAAAATTTTTAAATTGACAAAAATTATATATGTGAATCAGGTAAAAAAATGGTGTTTTAAAATTCGTATACATTGTGGAACGGCTAAATTGTACTTATCAACATATGCATCAACTCATATACTTATCACTTTTTGTATGGAAAACACTTAAAATAGACTCTGAGATGTTATTTTATATCCTTTACCAACATCTCCCCAACTCCTGTTCCCACCAACCCCAGTAACCACCATACCATTCTGTTCTCTGTTCTGAGTTCAACTTTTACATTTCACATATAGATAATGAGGTCACCAAGTACTTTTAATTCTGTGCCTGGTGTATTTCACTTAATTCAATGGCCTTCCTGATTCATCCATGTAGTTGCAAAGAACAGAATTTCCTGGAAGTCCATGTGTTATTTTTTTTCCTTCCTCTTGAGTTGAGTTCCTAATGTGTCTGAGGTGTCAGCCCCGCTATCAGATGCACAGGTTGTAAGTATTTTCTCCAATTCTGTAGATTGACTCTTTACTGTGCTGCTTCCTTTACTGTGTAGAAGCTTTTTGGTTGCTGTAACTATATATTTTTACTTTTGATACCTATCCTTTTTAGGTCATATCCAGAATCAGTGCCCAGAATGTCATCAAGAAGCATTTTCCATATTTCTTCATATATTAGTTTTATAGTTCTAGACTGAATGTTGAACTATGCAATCCATTTTGAGTTGATTTTTTAAATGATGTGACATAAGAGTCTAGTGTCATTCTTCTGCCTATGGATATCTAGTTTTCCTAACACCATTTGTTGTACAGACTTTTTCCCATTGTGTATTCTGGGAATCTTTGTCAAAAATAAGTTAGCTAAAAGTACGTAGTTCTGGGTTCTCTGTTCTGTTCGATTGGTCTGTATGTCTGTTTTTATCCCAGCACCATGCTATTGATTACTATACTTTTGTGGTATATTTTAAAATCAGGTAGTGTGATGCTCCCAGGTTTATTCTACTTGCTTAAGATTCCTTTGTTAATTCAGGATCTTTAATGATTCTGTATAAATTTTAGGATTCTTTTCTATTTCTATAAAAAATATCATTGGAATTTTTATACAGATTATTAATCTTTATACAAAATTAGACATTTTGGCAATATTAATTCTTTGAATGCAGAAATATCAATCCAGGAATATCTTCTTCATTTTCTTTCAGCAATGTTTTATGATTTTCAGTGTATAAATCATTTGCCTCCTTAGTTAAATTTATTTATAATAATTTAATTATTTTTAAATGTTGTAAATGGAATTTTAAAAATTCTTCTTTGAATAATTTATTTTGTGCAGAAAATCTACTGATGTTTGCATGTTGATATTGTATCCTATAACTTTGTTGAGTTTGTTTACCCATTCTAGCAGATTTTTGGTGAGTCTGTAGGATGGTGAAAATATAAAATCATGTCATCTGCAAACAGGAACAGTTTATTTGCTTTCCAATTTGGTTGCTTTTTGCTTTATTTTGAGGTTTCTTATTTGTTGTTTTGTTTTGTTGTCTTGTTTCTTTTTGTTCATTTTTTTTCTGGGAGTATTTTTGATGTTGTTGTTATTGTTGTGACATTTGTTTTGTTTTTCTTATACTGGGGTTTAAACCTAGAGGTGCTTTATGACTAAACTGCATCCCAAGACCTTTTTATTTTTTATTTTGAGACATAGTCTCAAAATCTTTTGATTTTACCTTGAAAAGTTCCCATTGGCATTTCTTATAAGTCAGTTCTTGAACTTGCAGTCCTCTTACCTCAACCCCCCAAGTAGCTGGGATTACAGGTGCCCACCTCAATTTGATGCTTTTGATTTCCTTCTCTTACCTAATTCTCTGGTTAGATTTCCACTACTTTGTTGAATAGAAATGGAAAGAGTGAGCAGTTCTCTTGTTTCCTATTTTAGAGGACAGCTTTTAACTTTCCACTGTTGAGTGTAATTTAACTTGTACCTTTATCACATATGACTGTGATATGCTTTGGTTCCTTTTGCTTTGTGATTTCTGTAAGGCTTACATAAAACATAGTGATAAGGAATTTATTTTAGGCTGATAGCATCTTGATAATGTAAGGAAAACAATATTTTTACTTTATCTCCCCCCATAGTTTGTTTTTA